GATCATTTATATATGGCATAATTCGTTCAGAAGCTGTTTGACTTTGTAAAGCTTTTAAAAACAACGATCCAATCGCACACCAATATTACACCCTTCAAACACACACCGCAAAACTAATAAAAATTGCTAAATCGATAAAGTCGCAAAAGTTATTTAGTGTTGGTATACAAATCTTTTCAACCCCTCCATATTTGAATTCAACATAATCAGGGCCGCTTCAAGCGACAGGGAAACAATAAGTATCCTAGAAGATATCGAATGAACAGAAAAGAAATATTTACTTGCCAACGTTCTTGCATCAGCAACATCCTCAAGAGCACTGAGCAAAACATGCAAGAAATCAGAGAAAAGCAGGCGAAACCAACAATCAAAATTTAAAAAATTGTGAAGCACACTAAACATTAAAATTGATCTTTGAACTGCTCAACCTTCACAGTTAAATGACCAGTCGGAACAAGTGAAAATGTCGGTAGCAGAATGAAAATCATGAAACTAAGTAGTGGACAGGAAAATGAGTTTTTTGATTCTGATAACTAATATAATTCGAAGGATAATGAAACAATGTGGCAATAATGAATAATACCTTGTGCAGTGACACATTTTATAATGACTGCAATAATGAGGAGTAAATTTTTATTTTCTTAAAAATAAAGAATAATTTTCTTCTTGCTGTCAAAAGTTTCCACGCTTGCGAAAATCAAGTTTGTAACAAAGTCATAGAATGATATCATTGAACGAATCATATCAATATCATTGAAGGAAAGAAGCAAAAATTTTCACACATATGGCTGTTTAACAAAACGTTTCCGGATGTATAATATTGAAAACGTTTATTAGGACTTATTTGAAAGTATTTGAAACAATATTTATTATATAACAAAGTTAATGTTTACATTTGTAAATTGAAAAACTTTCGGAAAAACACTTCAAAATTAATGAATCACCAATAATTAATAAGATTTGTTTGAATAAGAACATATACTTAAACATTACCAATCTTTTATAGGTTTTCACAAAAATTCAGGTTATTAGAAGTAATCTCATTTACCCAAACCAGTCATGAATCAATTATATGCAAATTAATTAAATAAAAGTACATTCTTATGTTTTGTTATGGGTTTATTGACAGTAGTGCAAGAAAATGCCTGAAACCTGCTTTAATGGAGATCAAAATTGTTAAAGTACCGTACGATTGAACGATTAAAAAGCTTATAATTAATGAGAAGTGAATGAAAGAAGATTAATGGAATCTTTAATATTCATGTGACTTTCCAGTGGATGCTGTATTTGGTTATGTAAATTTGAATAAACAGAGTATAGTAATAATTAGTGTAACATAGTAAGATAATTATCTCGTAGAATGTTGAGTTAAATTATATATATTTAAGGCAAAACTTGTGCAACATGTGGATGAGGCTCGATTTTGGGTTTAATTATTTTGGGAAATATTTTGTGCATTAAACATATTGCATTTGTCTATAATATTCCAAATCAAAATAATTAATTCCTGGGTTTCAGTCATTTATTGCCTTTATTTATCAATTAAAATACGTTTAGGTGTATTTTTCCACCATCATCAGTTTTTCAAAAATAACATAGTTAAAAAAAAATTATTAATTTAAAAAACAATCACAGTTTGTCAACAGCCTCATCATATCACACATTAAAATACATCACAATTGCAACACTTTAAAACATTCTAAAATTAATTAGGCCTAACAGGTGATTAGTCAGGACAATCAAATTTGGGAAGAGACTAGAATTCTTTGTTCAGATACTTAAATATTTTTACTTACACGTGTAGCGTTGTTGCTGCTTTAAGCCTTGGCATACATTTGGAGTATTAATTTTGGCCATTTTGGACACATAGCGAATAAAGTATTGTTTATATTGATTTATTTTACTTTCAGCTATTTTTCTTTGAATTCGGAGAATATTATTTTTTGTTAGCAAAATTCTTCAATATACCGGGTGTTAGTTAATATTCTATGTTTATTTCATTTAATTAATGTATGATATACTGAGCTAGGATTGTCGGTATTCGACCTGAAATTCATGGCATTGTTATGTTTTTTAATCTGTATCATTTCATGGACTCTTCTCTTATTATAATTACTCGTTAATCAGTATTTTTGTGTTATCAAAATCAAAATTATGCAACTTCTGTTGTGCATGCTGTGCTAATGCTGTACCATTTTCGTTATTTTTTCTCAGGCTATATTTATGTTCGCATATTCTTTTCTTTAGATATTGTTTTGTTTGACCTATGTATGTGTTATCACAATTCAAACAGTCTATTTTGCAAATTACATTAGGAGTGCCTAATTTGTCAATCCTAGGTTTAAATTTTGAAACACTCATTTGCTAAGGTGTTTTTATTTTTTTCTGCTTGATCTTTTGATTCTCACTAAATCCAACAAATAGAAACAGAAACCACCCTGACGAAGCATTTGAAACTTAGAGACTTCCCGACCAGATTCGACTAGTAAAATTAACTTAATTTGCATTTTCCACTAAAAAATTCATAAATTAAGGAACCGTAGCTCTCATCTCTAAGAATCATTAAGGAAAATATCCAATGCGACAAATTCCACAATACAGAGCATACAGGTCAAATATAATGTGTATTATCTGTATTTTAAATTTATCAAAACTCGTTTTATTTCAGGAAATATTTTGTATTTGATATGGTCTTATCTTTAAAGTGTTTTATGTTATATCTTGTAAATTACATTAGGCGTGTCTAATTTGTCAATCCTATGTTTAAATTTTGTGAAACATTTATTTGCTAAGGTGTTTTTAGTTTTTTCTGCTATGTTGATATTATATGGTTTGAATATATTTTTTATTTTTGTGTTAATTTCCGGAATATATGGTAATGGTATATACTTCTTTTATTTATGTTTTTCCATTTAGTTGAATTGTATATTTTATTTATCCTTTGCTTTATGATTGGTTCAAAAAATTACCTTGGATAGTTGTTTGTTAATAATATATTTTTAATTTTTTCAAGATTTTTTGTTCTATACTCCCAATGTGACAATTTAATGGCTCTATCTGTAAGTGCCGTTATTACACTTCTTTTATATTTCATTGGAGCGTACGATTGATAATTCAGGTACCTACCAGACCATACCTCATTTGTGTACCAATTTGTTTTGATTTATCCGTTGTTATCATAATTAATTGTTAGGTCTAGAAAGTTTATAGAATTTCCTTTATCTTCTTCGAGAGTAAACTTTAGGGTGTCATGAAAGGCATTAAACTTATCTAGAGTATATTGAATTTTGTCTTTTGGGAGGCACATTATGCAGTCATCCACATATCGTTTAAAAAATTCACACTTATAGTTTGATTTAGATATTATTTGTTCTTCCAAATTTTCCATTACCAAATTTGCAATTGTTGCTGCTATGGGAGAACCCATTGCTACTCCATATATCTGTGAATACAACTTGTTTTCGTACTGGAAATATGTGGATTTTAAGCACAATTCTACCGCCTCAATAAATTCTTTTTCGGGTAATTTTATATGTTCTTTTATCTCTGCTCATTTATTTTTTATACAGCTTATTGAGTAATCTATTGGTATATTTGTAGATAATGATACAACTTCCAGTGATATTATCCGATGATTCTTTGGTATTTTTTGTTGTTTTATGACAATTTGACAATTTTTATGATATTTGTTGGTTTTGTTGTTGTTTATGTTTTTTGACTTTCCCAATACATTACTCAAAACTGCTGACAGATATTTAGATAATTGGTACGTTGGAGCATTTATGTTACTAACTATCGGTCGTAATGGAATGTTTTCCTTATGAAGCTTTGGTATGCCATATATGGTACTCGGCCATTGTTGCAAGATAGTGTTCGTTTCAAATTATCTGTTATGAATTTCTTTTCATGCCATAAACTTATTATTTTATTTAGTTTTGTTTGTATATTGGTAGTAAGATCTTTTTTTCCGGTTTATATGTTTTTATATCACTTATAAAGCTTAGCATTTTCGTTTTGTATTTACTTTTTAACATAATTACAGTTTTGTTGCATTTATCTGCTGTTAGTATGCAAATGTTTGTGTTTTCATACTTACATTTTTTTGCTTCATTTATCAGTCCATTAACATGACATGCCATACTTTTATGTGTGTTTTGTTTTATTTTACCTTTGAAATTTGTTAAGATGTTACACAATTTATTTCTGATCTCGTTCTTTGCCTCATTATTTAATGAGAAGATTCCATGTTCAATGCTTGTTATGATTTCTGAAATTGGACCATAGTGAGACTTATTTATGGAGAACCTTGGTCCAAGTGATTATGATATATGATATAGTTATTATGATATAGCAATTCCCATACGTAAAATACATTGAAATAGAAATCTTGTCTGGAAATTCCAGGTGTCGATGCATTTATTTATGTTTTTACACGGCATATTTGAAAATCAGTTTTATTTACAAAATATGTTCATTGATTTTTCCATTCCTGGATTCCAAGATTCTAATTTGAAACGGCAATATTTAAATTGGCACCATGTGCTCCTATTACGCAAATGTTACTTAATTCGTTGAAACTTGCTGTGTATACAGTTCAAATTAAATGAATCTACATATATAACAAAATACACAGGTGGTTAGATGAAATTATGCATTAGCTGTTCTCAGCTAACGGATGATTGAGCCATAATCGGTTTATTCAAACCGTTTCTTAATCAAAAGAGCGTAGGTGAAGTTTCCCAAAGTTAACAGCACATCCGTATTGAAAAAGAACAAGTTGATAAACCCATTTATATTCCAGTGCTAACATAACAGGCGTAAGCAGTGCGCAATTAAGGATTTTAGTTTTCCGCAATATTCCTGAAAAGTAGACTTAAGTAATGCAAGCGTCCTCAAGTTCTTATGTGCTTCTAACTGTTAAATCCGAGTGTTCTTCGGCTAGCCGAGACACCATCCAATAGTACGGCCTTTTGGTCTTCTTCTTAGCGTAAAAACGAAGACGCGCTCTTCGTTGGCTTACTTCTATAGCGGAAGGCTTAGAGCCCAGCAGAAGAACAACTACCAAGCTCTAACTAGCCGGCTTGGTCTAGCGATTTTCATTTTCATATGTACATTTATTTTCGTCTCCTTTTTTGTCATCGCAAGCCGTGACAACTGAACCAAGACTTATATTTTTACCGTTTCTTCAATTTTGTTTGGATACCGGTAAATTTTAGTCAGAGCCATCGATCAAGAGCAAATCAATTCGCGACGACATTGAGATTGTGAATGGTGTATTAAAGTGTGTGAAAAGTTCATCGGTCGCGGACAGTTACGCAAGTTCGACAATCGCAAATACATTTAGGGAATTCTTCAAGCACGCTAAAGGTAAGCTCTAGTGCACTTGCACTTTAGAAGCCAGATGATTTTGATGTATTTTGCTCCATTTAATATCATGATGAATATGCTATTAACCATAGTCAAAAAAAATTCAAATGCATTCAAAATGCATTTTTTTAGTATCAACAAATTATCTTTATGAATTTATGTAAAACTGTCTTTCACACACAGTTTTCACTGAAAAGTCCTGGAAAATGTTTTCACTAAAATTCTTATTTTTTCTCGTCATGAAACACATGGAGATTACGTGGGAGACTCTCTAAGAAAACTGGTAAAATGTCATAGAAAATCCCAAAATGGTTAAGAGGCTTTATATTTGGGGCAACCTAGAAATAATTTATTGCATATGGATGCAGTGAATATTATGGGTTTTAGAGAAATTGTACATAAAAATGATGATTGTTTGTGGCTTTCAGATCGTCCAACAAATAATTGAACAAAATTGATACTTCAAGGATTAAATTGTATTCTACGAGCTGAAAACCCTGAAAACTCACGCGTTTCATGCAAGGCTCACAAAAGTTTTTGACTAAGTTAAAAATATTTTAGATTTAGCTCCAGAGTTAAAATATGATTAGAACGGCTGCGGATGGAGCACTGAGTTGAACAATTTCACAAGTAAATTTCAACAAGGATACAATGTATATATTTTTTATATCAGATGTGCTTAGGTACTTTTGTAGCCACCTTTATTATTTCTTCCAACTTCTAGTCGAAACATGTTTATGTTATTATGAAGGTAAGATTTAAACTCATATATTCAATAAGTGTCAAACTTTTCACATTTGCCCTATGAATCATCTATCTCTTTATCAAGTGTGCATGAATGAAAATATAATTAGTTGCTCAGAAAATTAATATAAAAGGAAATCCCAGCTAAATGTTTGTTTTTTTTAACAAATGAGTTGAGTATTTAATCCATGTAAGTTCGCATCAGAGAAATCACATTGTTAAAAAATTACAAAAGAAATATTGCGTAAACCTGATCGAAAATACAACTAGAAATACTTTTTTGTTAAGCACGGAACAATATGTTAGATATTATTTCTAGTTGAAGTTTAAATTGCAACAATAGAAGACAATTAAGGCAACTGAAAAATTAACTAAGATGATCAGAAAGAAAAAACATCTCAGTAACTACAGAAAACCCAAATTAATGTTAGCAAAAGACGTTAGGAAGTTGAAATTTGGGCCTCAATAACAATTTCGATGTTCCAGGAAAATATAAATATAATACCTTTAAGTGGCATGCGAAACTAGCAAAAGTATTAATTTTATTATTTTTAAATATTTGAAAGTCTCACCATTGTCAGAAAAAAACCTTAAATAAAAATAACAATAAATAATAAAGAACATGGATAACAAAAAAAACATAAATTTGGCAGAAACTAAAAAAATTATGCATTCTGATAATCAGGGAAAAACAGATTTAAAATGTTTATTGAGACTGAAATTAAAATACAACGCAAAAAATAGGAAAGAGAAGCAACTCAGAGTTCGCAGGAAAAGTTTCACAACACTGTCTGGTCAATTTATGGAAATATTTTAATATTTTACGATTTTAATAGCAGATTTCCTACCTATACCTTATCTGGTGGCAGCTACGACATATTAAATCAATTACGTTATACATTGTTCATTGAGAAAAACGAAAAACTCTGAACAGGAATTTGCAGTCATATTGCAGATAAGCTCTGCAGGGTTGAGGAGAAGTTGAATTCATCTTTATCATTAAATTTGTTGATCAATAATTTCCCTGTAATTTTTTTCGCCTTTGCAAACAGACGGAGTTTTCCCACGTTTTTAATGTGCTTTAAAATGGTTTTCTGTTACAGCTTGAACCTAAGTATGCCTTAAAATGCATACCTGCTATGAGCTTCTTGATTATATTTTTATGAAGGATATGATGTCTACTGTAAAACGACAGCAATTTTCGTCAATTCGGATTAAAATTCTTTTAATTTCTGTACTTTTCAAAATACGAAAATGTTTGAGCTTCTCAATAAAACCCCTTGAATAGGAGCCATAATGTAACACCTTACGTTATTATAACATTTATCAAATATTGTGATGCTTTCCAGCTACAAATCAGTTTTAGCAAAAAGCATTTTTCTTCTCACTGTGTCAACGTAGAAAATCGGGGCCGTGGTCATGTTAAAACTGATTAAAAATTAAATACATACTTTTTTATGTTTTTCACATCATTCTAGTATTAAACGTTCATTCAGCTTCACGGTTTAAAAACAATATAAGGTTCAAGGAAGGTCACGTATATCTCTGACAACATTTGAATTAGTAAGATAAAAATTATGCAAAATTAAAAACAATTTAAAAAAATTTCAAACATATATTCTATATTAATATCTATAAATCGTTTATATACCAAGATTCCGAAATGTTAATATTTTCTTCCAAATTATCTTTTTTCTCAAAAAAATAGACGCTTTTGATTAATTGATTCTGGAAAAAATCACTCAGTTCAACATTAAAAACCAGAAAACGTCGTTTTTCAATTAACTGGTTGTAATAAAATTGCAAAAAACCGTGATTTTCTTAAAGATCGTTGGCCGGATGGACATACACATTACCACGCATATTGGAAATGGTATTTATGATATCCATTCCACTTACAAGTTGTTAGACGGTACATGCAATCACATATTTCAAAAAGCTTTATGATCAAAGCTGTCATAAATTTCTCCGACTTCCTTGCGATATAAAGAAATTAAAATTTGAGTTATTGGGCATTGTAGGATGCAAGTATTTTTTTCTAGGACTTTACGATGCATATCAATTCTTAAGTTCACCGTAATTGATATGTATATTTATGTGAGTTTGGAGCAGTAAATTTATCGGATGATTCATTTCCTTTTGGTGTAAAACATTCTTTATTACCTTTAATTGCGAGCTCGCAAGCAGAGCCAATGAATTCCGAAGATTACAATTATTTAATCATTCACTCAATTTATTAGTTCGTTGACTTTATAGCTTCTCTACACAGTTAGATGGCCGAAAACATCTCATGCCAGTTAATTATCAACTATTCCTAAACAAGCTGAGAAAATTTGCAGCCAGAAGAATGTAAATTTATGTTAACATATGCCATGCGGTTTTGAATATTTCACATAACAGGTATTAATTAAAAGCAGCAAAATATCTGCATAAATCACGACAATTACTGTTTGAGGTAATCATTACAATCGATCTGAAGAAAGATAAATATGGATTTATTGATTTAAATTTAAATATATTTAGTATGTGCGAGGTACGACTCATATCCCGGAAGCAATGTTCTTGTTACTTGGAAACATTAAATCTGCCTTTGCAGAATCGGAAAACAGATTGCACATACATCAAGTACAGGTTTTCATATCGCAGGCATGCAAATAAATCGAGTGTCTATTGCAATTCAATATTCTACAGTTTCTAGACTTAATTACATTCACAACAGCTTCCGAAAAGCCATTATCAATAAGAATTTTACAAAAACATTACAATACTGACACCCCTCAATCCTCTGGGCTTCAAGTGTGATTGTACGATAAAAGCCTAATTTGTATGTATGTCCAATGATGTTTTCCAGACAGAAGTTTTGTAGTTCTACGAACAGTATTCGCTGTTGCATCTGTAAAATTATAATTTCTTCAGTTCTAACGTCATTTAATGCATCCGGTGTTTAAAGATAATCATCCAAGACAGGGTATATTTTTAGATTCTTTCATGGTTTAGGCTATACAATATTTTATGTTGAAAATGGGTTATTTCTCCACATGGTTGAAGATTAATTTTTAATATATTTATTGTATTAATGTTAAGAGAATATAAATTGGGCAAGTGTGGAATCCAGCTATATTTTGAAGCTTTGGAAAACATGCCTTTCAAAATAAAATGTAAATAAGTTGTGTTTTTGTAGTATGGATATTTTCATTTTGAATAAAGACTTTACTAAACTACTTTGAGTTTAGCAAAATCCACTAATCAAAACATTATTTGTTTTTAATCCAAGGTTAACATAAAATGTAATGAAGTTATGAATCTGTAGTTCTCCATTCTTCGAACTGGTTAAATTAACCATTCTCAGTTCATTTGGAACCGAAATTAATGTTTAAAAAGAAAATTAAGAGTTTGTTACAAAATGGCGTAGATACAAGTAGTTATTTTGATACAGAATGAACTGGCAAATTTTGATTGACGAAAAGCAGAATTAGCTATTTATAAATGTTTTTATTATGGAAACACCAACACGGATTTGGCAGTTAATATTGTGGTGTTTTATGCTAAAATTCGTAAATAATCGCTAAGGATTCGTGGGTTGGGCAAGCAATGATCAATTTTAAACAAATTTCAACGCCGGATGCTTCTAAGACAATTTGCTGATGACTTTTCGTACGGCACTTTTTCGTTTTTTATATTTTTACCTTTCATCGGCTAGTTCTTTAAACAAGCGAAATTATTTTCCCGTTCCTCATACTACGGTTAGTTCGTTGAGCTTTAATTACTTTTTCCAGTAAAAAGTTTATTTACACTTGATTAAAATTTCGAAATTAATTTTTTTTTCTAATTCACTTTATTTAATATGCCAATGAACCCACAGACAAAACCGTTTAAACCGACTGATGGGTTCTTCAGAACTATCAAATTAGTAGAGCCAATCCAAGCGTAAAAAGCACCATTCTTTCGTAGAGTGCACACACCAAAATAACATTGTTATCTCTTAATAGACGCCTTAAACGTTTCGCTTTATTCGTATTTATAGTAACCCGTCGAGATTTCAATTGAATTCTAAGAAAAACATGATGATAGTGCCCTACAGATTAATCCTTTTATGTGCATGCCTGATTTGGAAAAGTTCCGATTTTTTAATGGAGTTATAATTTGGACTACACTGTGTATTTTGACATTAATTAATTATAAGCGAGTGTATATGTTTTAAGTGATTGTTAGTCTAGTCTAGTGTCATCCAAGTGCGGCCGTTTGATATTGAGAAA